CCCTGGCTTTGGAGCATCAGTTTGTGACCCCTTTCACTGCCATGCTGGTGGAGGGTGAAGACGAGGGGAGGACAGAACGACTGATCGCGGACTCGCCCAAAGACTCCAAACACGGCTGCTGCTCAGGTAACAAATCCAAACGGGTTTTTCTTGAAATATATCCATATTGCAAAAGGCATTATTAAATAGAGTAAATTCTATTTATTATTATAAGCGTTATTTCTCTTTTTTTTTCCCTTTTCTCAGCCACTGCTCCTTTATCGGGATCAATTCCACTGCAACGGTTAGTCTATGAGACTCCTCCGTGGGCTCGGCCTACTAATGCTCCAATATTCCCAGAAGAAGCAATGGGAACACAACAAAGTATACTTCCTGGGCACATCACTGTTGGTAATGCAGCACAGTCAAATTATATTTATGTTTTCGCACTTGGGGCGATCCCATAAAAGTGCAGTTGGGAGTGGAAAGTTCTGCGGGTGGTCTACTGACAATGCGCACATGCAATTTGAGTTGGGATGACTTAAACATCCAAGTTGATTGTACTTAAAAATTTAGGGCAGCAACTTTTTTTTACAGTGAGTGCAGGGTTTCACAAAACAGTTTCAGAACTGAAGTGAAGCCCAAAGAGATTCCATGAATCAGTGTGAACTCAATGAGAATGGGTTTCTTGTTTCTTGCAAACAGGCTTTTTTTTTTTAAATATTTTATGAACTGGTCAATTTTTATCAATTTTCTTTTTGTAACTATTGTTTCAGACTGGTGGAAAGAAAAAATTGGATATACACTTAATTAAATAAATGTTTATTTTATTGCAGAGCCAGAAATATATCACCTGCCTGATTTTATACGACATTTTGTTCCTAAAAACATGGTGAAAATTGGCTGTTGACATAACATTTTCAGATTTTTGGAGTGATAAAACTAGATATTCATAACCCCCTCTGTAAAAACCGTTATGTCAACACAATATGTCAAAGCAAACACAAATTATAAATCCAGTGTTCAGATTTCTGTTCTTGAATTGTATGCAAATAAGTGCATAGTTAATTATATAATACCACATTTGAATATTTAAACAACTTTTCAAAAAACTTTTTATAAATTAAATTTGTTTTGTGCAATTTTTAATGTAATGAATCAACTGGGGAAACATGGTGATATCTATCAGTCTACATTTTTACCCTATTCACCTAGGGTCTCTTGCTTTAAGTTTTTTGCTGTGATCTTACCTTTTGATTTTACTGCAGTGGAAGGTGACCCACACTTCATCATTAACTTACCTAGAAGCAACATGGACATCTGCTTCAACATAGACTCCAAACCTGGACACATCCTTAACCTGGTTTCAGATCCTGGGACAGGTAACTTCTACAGGCGTCTTCCATCACATGAAAAAAAATAGGCCTTTTATTTGTTTCACATTCCATATGTTTTTTTTTTCTTTTCTTTCCAGGAGTAACAATCAACGGTCAGTTGGTTGGGTCTAAGAAGATGAAGAACAACAAATTAAACACATATTTCGGCACCATCTCCATATACTCTAAAACAGACGGTGTGCAGGTTATAGTAGGAACCGACAGAATCGACCTGATGGAAGACGGGAACAATCACTCCTTCTCTTGGGGAGTCACAGCTGAACTGATGCTTAACAGGTATAACAATACAAACCTTCAATGAATCACTTGAATCACTAGAATCAGTGACTGTAACAATGAATCACTTGAATCACTTGAATCAGTGACTGTAACAATGAATCACTTGAATCACTTGAATCAGTGACTGTAACAATGAATCACTTGAATCACTTGAATCAGTGACTGTAACAATGAATCACTTGAATCAGTGACTGTAACAATGAATCACTTGAATCAGTGACTGTAACAATGAATCACTTGAATCAGTGACTGTAACAATGAATCACTTGAATCAGTGACTGTAACAATGAATCACTTGAAACACTTGAATCAGTGACTGTAACAATGAATCACTTGAATCAGTGACTGTAACAATGAATCACTTGAATCACTTGAATCAGTGACTGTAACAATGAATCACTTGAATCACTTGAATCAGTGACTGTAACAATGAATCACTTGAATCAGTGACTGTAACAATGAATCACTTGAATCAGTGACTGTAACAACGAATCACTTGAATCACTTGAATCAGTGACTGTAACAATGAATCACTTGAATCAGTGACTGTAACAATGAATCACTTGAATCAGTGACTGTAACAATGAATCACTTGAATCAGTGACTGTAACAATGAATCACTTGAATCAGTGACTGTAACAATGAATCACTTGAAACACTTGAATCAGTGACTGTAACAATGAATCACTTGAAACAGTGACTGTTAACTACTGAACTTTACTGCAGTACCGTATTTTTTTTTAACCTTGTATGCAAAGTAAATTGATTTAGATAAAAGCATCTGGCAAATAAATAAATAGCCTACACGTGCGAGCACACACACATATAAATGTATAGATATATCAAAATTCATATGCGTACTATATGTATGGATAACAAAATTCTATATTTGTCAAATGAATCATTATGTCCATCATTTTTATAAGATGACAAGATACGTTGATTTGGATAAAAGGATCTGGCAAATGAATAAATAAATATACAAATATATACTTCACCAATAAATATATTAGGAACAAAATTCTGGTTTTGTCAAATGAAGGTTCTGTCCATGTATCATATGTCCAGATTTTTTTTTTTTTTTTTAAAGAAGACAAGAACATTCATAACGAATTTACCTTTAATAATCTGATGTATTTCCAAACGAAATTGAATTTACAAGTAGGGTGGGACTTGATTGTATACATTTACCTGGATTATGTGATATTATTGGCTGAATTTCTTGGTTATGTCAGGAGGAATTATTTTTTTTTTTAATTAAAAATGACAAAAAAAAACTTTCTTTAGTAACATGCAAAATAAGACCAGATACATTTATATTTGATGTTTCATTTAATACAGATCTCTTTAAATTTGGTTATATATGCCTTCTCTTGCTTATCAGGATGAAGGTCACCATAGTAAAGGAGCAACATGTTACTGTGATGATTGATGGGAGGATTTCAGTGATGGTGCTTTTGCATCGGGCGTGGAAGAAGCATCCTGTGCAGGTCGACTTCCTGGGCATTTACATGTCCAACGACAACCAATACTCTGCAGAGGTTCATGGTCTCATTGGTGAGTCACTCAACGTTTAAATGCACACACAACTACTAAAACGCACCCGTGTGGGTCTTTTTCTCACAAATGTTTCTTTCGTCTCGGAACAGGTCAGTTTGCACAGGAACCAGAGGTGAAGGTGTACGGTGTGCATGAAGGAGCAGACCCAAAGAAGAAACAGGCCATAATGGAAGTGAAAGGCAACAAACTGGCTGTTACCAGGTACTGTCACACACCATCACATAACAATATCTTTCCAAAACACGACCACAGGAAGACATTTCACAGACAGCACGCCAATACCAACTTGAGTTCTCTTTTGCACTTGAACAGACAACAACACAAAATAATGTCAAAATGAAGTCTTAAATGAATGTAAAGAGTTGTGAGAAAATAGAATATGCGTCACGTCAGCTCTTAAAGTGACAGCAACCTAATAAACCTTTGTCATTAATGTTAATCAAAGAACAAAAGACACTCACACTGACTGAATAACTTTTGTAGCTTTAATAAGGATTCATCTATATTTAACGTATACAGTGAAGACTGTGAAGTGTTATTTTACATTTGATTATTCAATTTCTGTATATTTCCTACATGAATATTACTGTTAGACCTACCTGAAAATACCTGTCACAAAGGTCAACAAAATAAAAAAATACCATTAAACAAATATTTAAAATGTACCATCTTTATGAAGTTTCTACAATAATTTGGGGATTCGATATACAATTATTACAATATAAAATTTAAAACATTTAAATTAAGATTAATCGTGATTAATTACAGAAAAAATGTGTGGTTACTAGTTAATTATTTGAGCGAATAAAAATACTAATATTATATATATATATACCAATTTCATCGCACAGCATCTCAAATGTTGTTTTAGTTATTCTGAAATGCCTGAGCCAAAGTTTGTCATCAAAAGATTTGGTTGAATTCCCTCTCAGAAGCTTCTCCCGTGATTCTTAAAAACCAGGCATCCGAACGTAAGATAGATAACATGACAGTGTTCGTCTATGTACGCTGCTTTACGTTTATATATAGCGAATGTTTTATGCAATATTCCAATTGTGCAACTTTGAATGGAAACAGCTAATTTCATTGGAAAAAACCCTACAAAAGAATCTCTATACAAAATGTATTCTTGAGATCCACCCTATCCAACTTATGTATCACTGAAATAAGGCAACGACCTAGCACATATCATATTTTAAAGTTCTGTAATATGCGTTTATCAATCAGGGGCTGGCAGAAGGACTACAGACGTGACAAGAAACGAGGTTCAGATGTCTACTGCTGGTTTGTCCATAACAATGGGAAAGGCTTTGTTGATGGGAGTTACACCAGCTATATCCTCCCTCGTCTGGACAGCTTCCTGAGCGCTCTCTGAGAGCACGAGTGTGCCTTGCGCTAGTTGCTAAGAGAGAACAAGAGGCTGATGGGTAGAAATCTGTTATTTTATGTAAGCCATACGAACCACCAAAAAAACTGAGTTGCAATTTAGAAAAAAAAAGGTTTTTAATACTACAAGAAAATATATACAAAACATTGGGAAATAGTGCTGTACATCAACCAATTAAACTGTACTTAATTATAAATTAAGCCAATTAAACATAATTTTAATGTATTACACCACTTCTGACTTGACTGTTTGCAGTGAAACATTTAATTGAACCACTTAAAAGTTTGAATTGAATATTTGAATCGTATGCAACCATTTCCATTGACAACAAAGATAACAATGAAAAAAAAAAACAAGCAATAAATACCATTGGTCGATTTGATTCAGAATGTAAAAGAGGTAATTTAAGAGTCTTTATTATGCACTCTGACACAGTAGAGTCGCCCTGGAGAGAAGATGAACATCAGGCCAGTTTGGAGAAGTCCTCGTATGCAATTCCCTCCACTGTCTTTCCTTTCATCCGACCCTAAAGACAAACAACATGCTTTAGATGAGTGCTTCTCAATCCTGGAGTTTCATGTTAGTCTCAGAATATGGAGGATGAGTCTTATAAATGCATTTACTGTCACATTTGATCAATTGAATGCATCATTGCTGAATAAAATCTCTAAAATCTAACACTGATTTCTTGAGCGGAGTCTCAATGAATTAGAGGCAGCATCTTTATAGTGTTTTGGAACACTATAAAAACATTTGGACAGTTTTCTGAGTGAACTTACCGAGTCTAACATGAGTGTGGCAGAGAATTTGTGCTCATTTATGCTTTCCAGGATGGCTTCAGTGTCTTTATATTGACCATTCAGGATCAAAACTCGCTTACCTGAGACAGAACGAGAGATTAGATTGAGAACAGGTTTGGAAAACATGAAGGGTAAGTCATTCATTTGGGCAAATATATCTTTAAGCGAAAAAAGTAGCATGTTTAACAACAGTAATGCAGTACCAGGAGCTGGAATGACTGTCTCCATATGACTCTGGTCCAGTTTGAGTTTGTCTCCAGAGTCGATCATCCTCACCATAGCTGTGTATTTATTCTGCACCTCCTATGAAATCACACACATACACACAGTATTACTGTAGGAAACATAATTCACTCTGTGTGGATCACAACAGTCCCGCCGTAATGAGCGCTTTAGTTACCCGAATGACTGCTTTCTTCTTGTAATACTTCTCTCCTAGTCTCTTCGTTATGACTTTCACTACAATGTTAGCTTGAATCCAGTGATCGGATCTTACAGATTTCTTCTTCTGTTCCTCCATCTGGAAGACACACAAGGGAAATGTAACAAAATTACATGTATTCAATCAAAATGGTTGCATGAATGAATTTCGTCATTGACAATAACCGCGATTATTTAAAGAATAAAATATTGATGTTGTGTTAATACTACACGTAAATAATCCAGCACCAGTAACCATCTGGTTAACACTCCAACATGATGATAGGCTGCTGTATTGCGGTGTTTTTTCAAATTCATTTTCAAAATTTCTAGAGATCACGATATTGTTATCATGAAATTTCGTCCACAATGATCTTGTAGTGAAATATTTACCAATATTTGTGCACTAAAACGTAAAATGTAAAATGGCCGGTCATGAATAATTATTGTAAATTGAGTGTTGGAGATAGTGGAAAGTCGGCTTTATACAGCATGAGTATCTAAAAAGAAAAACATTAAAGAAGAAAACGTGCCTCTATTATCTCATCCAGAGCAGATTTCTTTTTCTTGTCCTTGGAGTCTCCGCCGTGGGCAGGCTCTTTCCTTTTCACTGAGGCTGCAGCTTTGAGGGCACTAGGACCCAAAGAGTTGCTATAGAAGTAAAAAAACATGGTTATTATCACATCCTTGTAGATTACTTCACCCAAACTACAGCTATAATGCTTCACAACACTGTTTACCTTGGTTTGGAGGGTCCCGCTAAAGCAACGTCCATGTTGAAAGCTATTTTCTCATCTTCATTCTTTCGCTTCAGTTCGGTGAACACAGGTTCCTCCTGTAGATGGATGGACATTGAACATCTGAGCAAGAAAACACTCTGAAAACGCTTTTTTCAGCGCACAAACACACCTCCGGCTCCTTGCCCTCGCGACCACGGCGAACTTGGTCTTCGATGAACTTGGCGCTGCGTTCTTCGTCGTCCATATCCTGTTTCTTCTTCCTCTCCAGCTCCTCCTGTCGGCGGATTGTCTCCGGATCACGATCGATCCACTGGATGTACCAGCCTTTGGGGGTCTCATCCACTTTGCAAAAACCTGGACACAGAATCTGAATGAGACATCTAACACTGCCGTTCAAGTTTGGGGTCATATGAGTGTGTGTGTGTGTGTGTGTATATATATATATATATATATTTCCTAGAACTACCCGGTGCGAAAGCCCCTAATAATGTTAGGTGCGATTAATCACAGAAAAATAGGCAATTAATTTGTTCCATTTTTTAATCATTTGACAGGAAATAATATTAAAACGAAAAATAAGTGCTTTCTATTTTAATATATTTTAAAATGCAATTTATTTCTGTGATGCTAACCTTAATTTTCAGTGTCATTACTCTAGTCACATGATTCTTCAAAAATCAATCTAATATGCTGATTTGCTTATAATTATGATCAATGTGCAGCTTAATATTTTTGTGGAAACCGTGATCTTTTTTTTTTCAGGATTCTTTGCTAAATAGAAAGTTTAAAACAAAGTTTGGTAACAATTTAAAAGTCTTTACTGTCACTTTTGATCAATTTAAGGTGACATTGCTGAATAAAATAACTAATTTCTTTTTAAAAAATTTAATAGAAATCTTAAAGACCCAACCCTCTGCACAGTAATGTATATAGTGCATATATGAGGAAGATAATTCGGTCCAATGCATAGAACGCTTGCCTTCTCTCCCGAGCCATTTGGTGAAGTCGGTGAGAGTCTCCCACTGCGTAGAGTTCATGTGAATGTGTTCCCGATGACTGATGTACTCATTATACACAATGTTATTGTGAACTCGCTTGGTCCCTGCAAAAACAAACACAGACGTTCTTGAGCGTTCAATAATAGAACAAGCTCAAAATAAACAAATGTATAGGATTTGCAATAAACTAATAAATCAAAACAGCAATGACTTACCAAAACGTCTTCGGAGCAGCTCTAAGAATTCACCTTTGAACTCCCTATAAATTAGATTTTCAAATACATTTGATCTCAGTGATGGATGGATGGATGGACGTGGACAAAATAGTCTGTTGACTTACTCTGAGAAGTAGTTCATGAACTGGTTCGGGTTCTCTGAAGCCAACAGAAGCTGTCTCTGATGAGACTCAGACATGCAGTGACATTTAAACCCGTTCTGCAGTCAAGAGAGATCATGTTAGTCAAGCTGCCATCTGAACTTTTGAACATGCCTGAAATCCTGCCCATGTAGACGGTACACTAGGTTTTGAAACACAACCTATAATGCTTAAAATCATGACTAGTGTCCATTTGTAGCCCCAAAATGCTGCCTGACGAAGACCTGATGATCGTAACGTTGCAATAAATACTTTTCTGTGGCAGTCATATCAGTGTGCGGACATAACGTTTGTTTTTTGCTTTAGTTTGTCTAAATATTCAGTTCATAAGGTTGAGACACAGCCAATGATGCCCAACACAGTCATAGCCTATAATGCCCAAACATGCTGTCTATGCAGCTCACTTGGGTTTAAGACAGCTTATGGTGTCCAAAAAAATGCTGTTTAGTTAGTAGCTTACTAGGTTTAACATTTACATATATTTACATTTATTCATTTAGCAGGTTAGACACAACCTATGATAATCAAACAAGCTAGAATTCCTAGAAAGCAAGTCTAGAAAGTTTGTGACAGCCTATATCAGTGGCGTAGGCAGAAATTGTATTTTGGGTGGGCCAGTGAAAATGTGAGTGGGCCTATAGTTTTTCATAGAAAAAAATTGACTTCAGTAATAATTAACCTTAGAGAGTAGAAAAATTAATAGACAAACTGCAAAAACAGTTACACCTTTATATTCGGCAAATCATCATGTTCAACCAACAGAGCTTAATAAAGGCTGGACAAACCAGTGTAGACAATAACCTGTCTATTTTATTCAGGCTAGTCAGCAGTCCAAAGACAGTTTACCCGAAAATAAAGTAAGCTAAAATAATAATATCGCAGTTAGATCGGCGGCTAAACCCGCGTCAGGCTGACGGAGAGAGGGAGCAAAAAGCAGCCGCCACCAGCACCTGACTAGCCTTCTGGGTTAATGAGTTTGAAGAACTGGGCTGTGTGGACTCGGTAGATGAAGGCAGTGGCGTGTCTTCTTCCTCAACTCTTGCTTTTTTCAAATAGCACATTAAAGAAAGTTGTTTAGCCATTATTGTGGCGCCGACGACGCTTGTGAGTTTTCCTGTCGGAACCCCCAGCAACCATAGCAACCAATAACGTTCCGGAGAGAGGCTTTCTACAACTTGCTTCGACAGTTTCATTTTATTCGGAAAACGAATTAAACACACACAGCAGTCAACAATAAATCAGGTATATATTAATATATTTTCTTAAATACATTTGAATAAAAATAAACTAAAAATGTATTTTTATCAAACTTGCCTGGGCGGGCCAGTGAGTAATGTGGGCGGGCCAGTGCCGCCCTGGCCCAATACTGGCTACGCCCCTGGCCTATATGATATCCAAATAATGCTGTCTAGGCAGGGAGCTCACTAGGCTGAGACAGCCAGTGATGCCCAAAAGTGCTGTCTAGGTAACTTAGGGAGTTTACGGTTTTTCCAGACACAACCACTGTGCTGCAAGCCAACAGGACACTAAACAAAATATAGGAAAATCAATACAGACTAATCAGCACTTATATTCATAACTAACATTAAAATTCTAATAATAAATACACACCAATTGAGTGTTTCCGAAGAATGAAAAACACGTTCACGTAAACTTACTTCATCTCGACACTGTTTCTGGCACATCTGACAATACCAGCGCAGTTTCTGGAGGCCTTTGGCTTTGATTCTGTTCCCAATCGCTTTAGGACTCAGAAAATCTGCTTTACCCATTTTAAACACAAAAAAATCACGGGAATTATTGAGAAAATAACACTTTCCAGTGTCTCAACGCTCCTCGCGTTTCCTGGCGTCGTGACGCGTAACCCTCTCGCCTTGCTGACATGCGTGTTTCGTCACTGATCTGTGTGTACGTGTAATATCGCGAGATTATAGTGAGTACGCGTTTGGTTCCTGAGCTTTATTTGCGCCTGCGCAGACTGGCGGCTCCGACCGACCTTCAGTGAAGTGAACATGTTCGCCAGGACCAGCGCGGCGGTGTTCCTCCCACAATGGTGAGAATTTATGGTTTTATATGATCTCTAAATTTGTAATAACATGCTTTTAGTTAGCATTTTTACTTAATATGGCAAAATTGTGTCATTTGGTCAATGAAATGCAGTTGAAATAGAGCAAGGACGTGCTGAACTTTAGGCCGCAGTGAGCTTAAGCCTATGACAGCGGTGCGCTACATGACATTTCTATTTTTATTACGTTTACATCAATGTTAATAATCTAAATAAATACGTGCGAGTTGAATTGAAACTGTTTGTATGTAAATCGTGCTATCTTGTCGTGTATTGGCATAATAGCAGTGTTCTTCTGCAGAGTTTGCTCTGCATTCAATGTAATTCAATTGCTGTCATATTTATGGATGTATCATTGTTCAAAGAGCTATTGTATTGTGTTTGTTGATAAAAGTAACCTTTATAAATGTCTCTTGCAGTGGGCAGGTCAGGAATATGGCTACCTTGAAGGACAGTAAGTAAAGTTTCCTTTTCCTTTATAAAAGGTCAACCTTAATGTCTTTATAAATCCAGTTTCTTGCTATCTATAATCTGCTTGGCTTAATTTGTATTTTGCTAATATTTATGTTGCAGTAATGTTATCATGCATAACTGACAGTTGTATGAAGTTTCTGACCAGTGTTTCGTCCTGTTACCAGTCACTTTGCGGTTGAAGTCCATCAAGAACATCCAGAAGATCACCAAGTCCATGAAGATGGTGGCAGCAGCAAAGTATGCCAGGGCTGAGAGATCCCTGAGGCCTGCCCGGGTCTATGGCACCGGCACTATGGGTATGCAGTTTATAATCCACAAAAGTCAAGTTTATTATGCATAAACATTCTGAAATTAATTTTCTTTTTTTCTTCATATTTGTGTTTAGCGCTCTATGAGAAGGCTGAGATCAAGGCTCCAGAAGAAAAGAATAAGCACTTGATCATCGGCGTGTCATCTGACCGTGGTCTTTGCGGTGCCATCCACAGCAGTGTGGCCAAAGCCATGAAGAGTGAGATCGCCAAGCTCACTGGTGCCGGCAAAGAGGTCATGATTGTCAATGTGGGTGACAAACTCAGAGGTCTGCTCTACAGGTATCTCTCTTTCTCAGTCTTGCCTCTGTAATTCTCATTCAGTCATTTCTTAAGTTTTTTTTTTAGGCACATCACTTTAATCGCTTCCTTTCCTTTTGTAATCCCTCAGGACACATGGCAAACACATCCTGATCAACTGCAAGGAGGTGGGCCGCAAGCCTCCCACTTTTGTGGATGCGTCCATCATTGCCACAGAGCTGCTGGACTCTGGTTATGAGTTTGACCAGGGAACCATTGTATTCAACAGATTCAGGTTTGTCACACAATGCACTTAAAATAAACCCAAAGCCGTGCAAAAACGTTTTTTTTTGTCTTGGTTTTGATGTGGATTTGTGTCCTCTGCAGGTCTGTGATTTCATACAAGACAGATGAGAAGCCTCTGTATTCCGTTGACACCGTTGCAAGCTCAGGTATTGTTTCATTGTCAGTATTTCAATACTCAAATTATCAAAAAATTATGAGAGATCAAATTATCTGTAAGGCAGCATATATGGCAGACAGTTTTCCCTGACTTTAACTGTCGTGCTCTTGTTAGCCATCACTACCAGCTCTAAAATGTATTCAATTGACATTGAAACCCGAATCAAATCCATTATTTGTTGTGTGTGTTGTTCAGAGAACATGGGTATCTATGATGACATTGATGCTGATGTGCTGAGGAACTATCAGGAGTTTTCTCTGGTCAACATCATTTACTACGGGATGAAGGAGTCCACCACCAGTGAACAGAGCGCCAGGATGACCGCTATGGACAACGCCAGCAAGAATGCTTGTGAGACATGTCATCATCTTTGCAGTTTCTTAGGACTTTTATGGCTTATATTCCTTGCTAAGACATGATCACTATTATTAACATGAATTTGTGCCCTCTCGTACCTTTTTTCTGTCTTTCTCATTTGCAATCTTGTTTTTTGTTCTATTCATCAGCTGATATTATTGAGAAACTGACCCTGACCTTCAACCGAACCCGCCAGGCCGTCATCACCAAGGAGCTCATTGAGATCATTTCTGGAGCTGCTGCTCTGTAAGAAGTTTTTTTTTTTCTCTCTCTCTCTTTATCATATTAATAACCCACGCATGCCATCTCCTTCATTCTTTTTATTGATAGAGGGATCCAATGGGTAACCATTTCTGATGTCTAGTTCTGTTACAGGCACAACATTGTCACTGTTTAAATTTCTTTACTTCATAAACTTTTTCTTTTTTAACATTTAAAGCTTTTATGAACCCACCCACATTAATCAAATTTCCATCTTCCCCTCACAAACTTTCCATGATTTGCATGCATTCATCATTCACAGGAACTGAGGCATGATTGAGGTAACATCCTGCAGCAGACTAATAGGATATATTGAGTGCTTGTAGAGAAATAGCATAGAGAATAGATTTTTTTTTTCCCGTTTCCTGTATAAGGTTTTTTTGTTGCATGCAGTAGGTTCTTTTAGTGGGTTTTGGTGTTTGAAAGTAGTTTGGCTTTGGTCAAAATGGAGATTGATGGCAATTAAGGCTCCTTCAATTGAGTAAAATAGCTTGTTAGACAGTGACACACTGACTTCTTCTAGTCTTATCAAGTAGGCCCGAAACGCATTCTAAGCAAATACGTGACTTCAAATGATTCTATGCATACTTGATTTTTATGTGCCGGTTTTCTAAAATGTTGACATTTATTTACTTTCAAATAGAATAGGTTTCTGGCCTTGACCTGACTTATGTAAGGTCTGTTCACACCCATATGAATGTTCATCACAAAAGCTCAAAACAAAATTCTTATGTTCAGACCAATGTGTGGAAAAAAAAAAGTATGGCAGAAAGGCTGAATGAATGAAAATTCACTCTCTGCCAGTGGGTGGCGCTTTTGTAACCGCATTAAATACACCGATAAACAAGGGATGCATCCGAAATCGCATACTTCCGTTCTATGTATTCGGAAGTATGTCTGAATTCAGTACCCGGATGACCTACTACTTCCAACGAGATTCTCAAGTGTGCATACGATGGCCATTTCACTATCCCATGAAGCCACGGGAGAGGATTTGTGAATAGGTGTGTTTTTGACGTATTGGTGTATGACATCAAAGTACCGCAAGAGCGATTCTAAAGCATACAGAGCCGTCGCAACTGACACTTAATAGGTCATGATGACTACGGCTTTTTTTAGCACTCGCGAAGTACGTACTCGTTCAAAATCAGCAGCTACTAGAGATCATACGATTTCGGACTGAGCCAAGGACTGCTGTGTGCAAGTTTCTCTATTCACTGTCGCTTAGCACAGTTGTCTCGTGAGCGCCACCAAGTTGTAGTTTTATGTAACCGCATCAACCCTGTGCAAGTGACCACTAGCGCAAATCCTATTGGTTGGCCAGGTTTTTTTCACTGCGATGAAAGAAATTAGAACATCTCTCCATAAAAAAATGCCACATTGATGGCATGCAGATGTTCATACGAGTCTTAAAAGTCGCATTAACATTCGAATAAAAAAATGTTTATCACAACAGATAACAGTTTATCACACAGTCTTTGTGTGAACAGGCCTTCAGAGTGTTTTTATTACCTCTAAGATGGTTTGGTTTTATTCTTTACACTTGTCTTTTACTTTCCTCAAGGTTCATATGCCTACAGTTTATGTTTGAAATGTACTAAATATGTTTATTTTTCTCGTTACAGATAAAGTGGAGCCCTGCAAACTTCCGGTGTGGTTCTGGCGCTCATGCTCTTCAATTCAGTCACCTGGTGTAAAATTTAGTTCTAAATGTGCTTCTGTTTGTACACTATCAGTGAAAATAAACCTCTTACAGAGAAACGCCATCCATTTGATTTCTCCGGTCTATTTCTAGTGCATGTACTGATCAGCTTTGATGTCCTCTTAAGAAAATAAATACGTTTCCCGACTCGTGCTTGCTTTCCTTTGGAATTAAAGCTTGTGAACTCTTCTTTGAAGACACTGGCTCGGCTACGCTCCGAGGTTATCAATACACAGAGCATTTGAAGTGAAGACGTCTGCCAAAACACTAGGTCAATCCTTCCAATAAACCCTCTCTGGCGTTTACGTACTTTGCTTAAAACCGTATTAAGTTACTCTGAACTGATTACTGATAAACCCAATTGACTTAACGGCATCCTTATTGTTCTCTCTTATAATTGCCAATCAAAACAAGTTTAGCCTCCTTGTTATCCATTTGAAACTCAAGCCCGGCCAGCCACCACAGTATCAGATTAAATGATCGAGCTGCGGTGTTGGGTGTCTGGATCCATGAAAGGGTGAATTTGGGGGTCACTGATTGTAGAAGAGGGTCTGATCTATTAAAGTAATGGACAAGTTGAAAGTTTGACCATATGGGTCACTCATGTATTATTTAATCAGCTGCCACAGGAGCTCAGATTCTGATGGTTATCATCTGAAAACTGATGCGCATCACCATACCCAGACGCTTTTTTTTTTTCCTGAGGATATTTTTATTGAGTCATCTGAGTTCAGTGGCAATTGTTTAAAAAATAGTGGAATACAAGTATGTCGATGTTTTAGTGCACAATAAAAAAAAAAAACGATTTTTAGGCATGATTATTTGGGAGAAAATAGTTGTAAATAAATAATTACATTTATGGCATTCCATCTATACCTCATTAGTAATTAAATTACTTTTTAGCATCATAATTTGCTTGAAATTTACATACAGTAGATTTACTTTTATCATCATAAATTCACAGTGGTGAGTGGGGTGACATGGATGTTTCTGTTTAAAAATATAAAATCTTTCTCATACAGCCTTTTCTGAGTGAAAAATGTAAATTAATATGAACTTTTACTCTAAAGTTATAAAAAATACCATACTTATTCTGTAAACTGCCATAGGAGTGTTAGTACTAATAATTAATAATACATTAAAATGATTACCATACATTTGTGTAAAATATATGGATGATATATACTAAAAGCACAATATTCACTTTATTTTTTAATACGAGATCATTCACAATAATTTTTTGGGTAAATCCTACTACAAACAAAAATACACTAAGATACAATAATAAATATGCATTCAAACAAAACAAAGAAACAATAACTCAGTGCAAAGTACAATACAATAATAGAAATGTTATATACAAAAGAAAAAAAATCGGTTACACTTTATTTTAAGGTGTCCTTGTTACAGTGTAATTATACATTTAAGTACTGAGAAATTGTAATTGACTATATGTACTTAGGGTTAGGGTTTGCATGGTTTAGGGTTAGTTGCATGCATGTAATTATGCATAATTTAAAGTTATTACTACAGTACATGGTAACGTGTAACAGGGACACTGTAAAATAAACTGTTACCAACAATAACAATATCAATATCTATGCAACAATATCATACTTGCTCACAATGTATACGTAAAAGACGTTTCACTACTGATTATATTATTATTATATTAACCCAGATAAGTGTTCTCTCAAACGACTTAAGAATGATATTAATACCCTCTGTTCTTTCTGTTTGGAGAAACCTGAAACTACTTTACATTTATTTTGGAACTGCCCTCTCACAGTGACATTTTGGTGTGACATTTGTGATTTTATCAAATGTTGTGTGAATCCTAACTTTGAATTTACATAGAAATGTAATTTTTGGTTTTCATCAATGTGAAAAGAAAAGTGATATTTATTTTATAAACCTTATTTCTCTGTTAGCTAAATTTCACAATCACAAATGTAAATTTTCTAAATGCAATCCTTTTTTAAGATTTAAACTTGAAATGAAAATGTATTTTGAATCTATTGAGTCCTCTAGCTATAAGAACAGTGGCTGTGTTTAAGGATGTGGCACTTAATCTGGATTGAAGACTGCAATTTTATTTTACATAGTAGTAAATAAAAGGAATATTTTCAAAAAAAAGAGAAAGATTCAAGGCCTTACAAACCACTATCTGCTTTCCCACACTGCACTAACAGTAGGTGGTCTAATCGAGCAAGCCATAATCGATCAGACTCCCGGCTCTTCTGCGCATGCGCAATCGATTGCTCCACAATGTTTCGCTTGGGAAGTAAAAGATGGCGGCTCCTATGGAAGTGCCAATGTCCCTATTCATGTGAATGATCAAAACAAAGCCTTTACAGGCGCCGTGAGAGCGGGCTTTCGGGAGCGGAGAGATGTGTGAGAGTTACGCGCGCTCGCTGCTGCGGGTGTCCGTGGCGCAGATGTGTCAGGCGGTGGGCTGGGACGCGGTGCAGCTGAGCGCCTGTGATCTGCTGTCCGATGTGCTGGAGAGATACGTGCAGCAGCTGGCCCGGAGCTGCCACCGATACTCCGAGCTCTGTGAGTCCTTTAACACTCCTTTCTGACCCTTACAGCAGCCTGTGTTTATAACCGTCTGTGTTGGAGTAGTGTGCACTATATATAGTGGGTTTGTTGTGAAGCCCCGCCCACTACTAATGTTGTTAGCGTGCTAAGCTAACTAGCCCCTCAAATGGGGTTTTAGCTGTTGTGGCGATAAAACGTTCTTAACGAACTGCTGTTAGTCAGTTTCTTTGGATTCTTAACACATATTTTGTTGTTGCAAGACGTTAGTTCTGAAGCTAGGCATCAAACGTCTTAGTTTGTATGTTTTGACAGCTGACTAGAGGCTAGTTAGCTTTTATTTAGGCTAACAGATATCAGCTTTTGCTTTAAAAGGCTATATGCTGCTTAAAATAAAGTGAAATGTGAGATGGTATCCCTCTTGGAGCCTGAAATGTTTAAACCAGATCATCTGGAATAGTTTTGCAAACGCAGTGTATGGATTCCCACTTGTTGCCATAGTGATGATGTAAGCTGCAGCATCATCTGTGCGTATGTGCAGATCCATGTGTCCAAAACAGTGTTATTTTAGTATCATTCAGATACTGTTATTGTTTTTTTTAATCGATATTTTGAAGTAGTTTTTATATTTTCCGTTTTTAAAGTTTAAGTAATTTAGTCATTTTTAATATTTCTTCATCTGAACGTGCTAGTTGTCAAAGTCTGCAAAAACATTGCTCATTGGGGTCCACGTGTTGTTGTTTTTGTGCATTTAAACGGCCATGTTTGGAAAGTTTTTGAAAATATTTGTTTAGAAAGTTGCTTTGTTTACATGCAATAGTAGGGATGTTTTTAAAACTTGGTTGACACATTAAGGCGTTTGATTTTGGGTTCAGGAAGTTAAAAACTCCTTTAATTTTCTTAAAAGAGAAACATATTTTATAAACCGTATAAAGCTTTTACTTCCAGAGCCCGATTGATGCGCACTAAAACTAATATTATGATGTGGCTCTCATAGTACTTGAATACTTGATTGTGATTGGTTAATCGTTGCATTCCGCGAAACAACTATGCTTTTTCTTTATTTATTTAGTTTTTCCATATATTGCATAGCATAATCTCTCTCTCTCTTTTCTTTCAGATGGACGTACAGACCCTGGACTGAGTGATGTGGACCAGGCTTTTGGATTTTTGGGAGTCAGTATAGCTGAACTTGAGGACTATGTGAATAACTTGGAGCCTGTTGGCTACCCACAAACTATCCCTCAGTTTCCCATCAGCAAGAGCAGCGTTCTGCAGTTTCCTGCTGCTGGCTTTGAAACGGACGCCCGTGAAGCCCTGAGGGGAGAAAGGAGAGACTACATCCCAGAGTACTTTCCTCCGCTCGTCTCACTGCAGGAAGGTACGTACCAACATCGCTATAGATGCCAAACTGAATATATTCATGCAACAAGTTATAATAAGATAATTCAATGGAGTTGTAAATAAATAAAGCCGGGCGTACCGTACATTGTGCGAGTTTAGACACTCGGGAGCTGGAAGAAGGATTGATGATGTATACTCATTATTTATATGTTGTAAATTTAAAAAAAGTTACATAATGTACCCTTTTTTGGCAACTATATTGGCAACTGTATTTGATTGGCTGAACAAAAGTCGCGTTCCGTTTGCGTTTTAACTTCTTGGTATCTTAACAAAATACAATTTAATGACAGCACAATAAATGAAATTAAGAGAACAGTCACTTTTTAATTACATAGTAGATATTTTATGTTTATTTAGTTGTTTAATTTACACAACCTGTGGTGTGTTTCTGTAAACACCGAAAGAAAAGGGTTAAAAAGATGCATCATATTTTCATGTGATCATTGAAACGTTCCAGTAGAGAAATGGTAAAAAAAAAAACGATTAATTACTTGACATTAGTTCCAAATGTTTTCCTTTGGTCACAGCAGACACATCAAATCTGTTGTGTTGCTCCCCAACTGAAAGTCACCTAGTAAACGGCAAGGGTCATATGAGCACATTGAGCAAAAAAAGATGTTACTTTGACTAATTTTTTTTTTTTTGGGGGGGGGGGGGGGGGGGCATTAAAGCCACACATTGACTTTACTCATCATGGCAAAGGTATCTAATAAATATGTATATCTGTGTATCTCAAAATTTAAAAAGTGGATTATGCACTATTGAGCAAATGTTTTTTTTTTTTTTTTTTTTTACTTCTATTCGGCAAGGATGCATTAAATTAATCAAAAATGACAGTAGAAATTTATAATGTTACAAAAAAATTCTATTTCAAATAAATACTGTTATTCTGAACTCTATTCATCATAGATTCCTGAAAAATTGTATCACCGTTTCAACGACAACAACAAAAAACGGTTCTTATCATTACTATGATAGGACATTTTTCAAATCAGCATTTTAGAATGATTTCTGAAGGATCATGTGACACAGACGACTGAAATAATGATGCTGAAAATTCAGCTTTGCATCACAGGAATAAATTATATATTTAAAAATCTTAAAACGGAAAACAGTTCTTATAAATTGTGATAACATTTCACAATATTACTGTTTTTATGGTATTTTTGATCAAATAAATGCAGCCTTGGTGCGCATAATAGACTTTCAATAACTATACAGACCGTCCTATACAGTCACACACACAGGGACCTACGTATCCCATGATCCCCCAGCGCTGCAGTCTTTCACTCTCACTCCATCCGGCTCTCACACACACACACACACACTCGCCTTCTCATCACACACAGCGGAGGCTGTGCCAGTGGGTGGTGGAGGGGCGGACATGATCAGGGTTGTTTCGGGTCGGACAGGAAGCTCTCTGGCTGTGAGGTGTGTTTGCGGGTGTCGGTGTGTGTGTGTGTGAAACAGGAAGTCGGCGGGCTGTAGGCTTTCAGCCATGTGTGTGTGAGAAGCTGGCGGAGGTCCGGCCCGGATGGCAGACATCCCAGGTGAGTGTGTGTGTGTGTGTGTGTGTGTGTGGTGTGTGTAAGAGAGTCCAGCCAGGGTAGGGGGTCTAACTGGGTTTGGAGCCAGCGCTCAGCTGGATGCCCCTCTGCCAGAAGAAAGACTCAGGGTCTCTTTTTCTCCCTCTCCTCCATTTCCATTTTCTTTCTTTTTTTCCCCCTGTCTCCCGTTTCTTCCTCATAGATCAGTCGGAGGCCATATTACACCACAACACACTCATGCCACAAATCTACATGAGCATGTATAGGCAAAACAGACAAAAGTTTAAACATACAGTGCATTCTTCTATAATATAGAATACATATTATATGTATTTCTCTCCAAACCACAAAGGTTTTGGAGCCCCGCTGTGTGTTTGAGTGTTACGAACACAAATGGGTTTTTGTGTGGTTTGTATTTTTAGTGCCACTTGCTTAAGCAAACTTCTATTTTACATTGATTTGAACAAAGTATTAAATGTTTATGTAACTTATCCTGCACTATTGCAAAATGAGCCAACAAAATAAAATATTACCATAGATTTACATTGAAGAAATGACCCGAGATTTATCTAGAGACCAGAATTTTATAGAGTTTGAGGTGGGTTATTTTGATTTGTGCCAAAACACCCTATGGCAAACCCATAGCAAACAATGTTAAGTATTAATTATATAAACTATTATATTGTTTGTGTATATAATATATCATTAGTGTATTTTTATATTTTCATTTTTCATTTGAAAGTTTTAGTAATTTTTAGGGCTGTCAAATGATTAATCGTGATTAATCACATCCAAAATAAAAGTTTTTTTTACATAATATATGTGGGTGCACTGTGTATAATTATTTTATATATATAAATACACACACAGGCTTGTATATATTTAAGAAATATTTTCATGTATATACTGTATATAGATTTATATATAATTTATATTATATATAAATATAAAATTTTATATATAAATAATATTTTTTTCTTAAATATACATGCATGTGTGTGTATTTATATATATATACAAAATAATTATACACAGTACTCCCACATATATTATGTAAAAAAACTTTTATTTTGTATGTGATTAATCGTGATTAATCATTTGACAGCCCTAGTAATTTTATGTGCTTCTGCCATTAGTTTTTTTATTTTATTTATATTCTATTTACCATTAATTTTTTGGTGTGTTTTAGTACTGAAACTTATTTTATTTTAGTCAGTTGCCATTGCAACATTTCTAATTTTCATTTACATTTTTTCATTTTCATTTTTTTTCCATCTAATATTTATATTTTATTTCAGCTTTTTTCCATATAACAAAAACGATTTTTAATTATAAAAACAAGCACCTAATGCATTGCAACCTCATTGTAACAGTTTATTTGTATGTAATATTCTAGTCCGTTAGTTAGATTAACTTCTGCAGTAGCATATTTAGCCACAGGTTGGCGCTATCTGACCACATTTGTGCTCTTAACTTCGTCTGAATGTCTGTTTCTGATCTTCTTCATTCTCTTATACTGTGTGATACTCTGTGAATCAAGATTTTAATTTGATATAAATGTTAAAAAATATTTTTTGCTGTCCCTAAATGGCTTGGGTCAGGTGTGTGTGTGTTTTATCATCCGCCAAAAGAAATATCCTAGAAAATATAATAGCACATCTCTCCTTCACAAGCCACAAAATTTGAGGTACCACTCATGCCTGTATTACAAACAATTAAACACTGAGATCAAACTGATTCACACAACACAATAAACACAATGTGTTTTTAGAGCATCCAGTTTTGGAATACTGATTTTATTGCAATTACAACTTCATTACGTTAACATATTCTACAGAGTCGTTGCCATTGGTTCGGTGGTGGGTTTTCTCCCAGTCAACAGGCTCTTGTTTGTCTATTGTGTGGGAGCGTATTGTTGTTCAGTCCTGAGGGAAGAAGGTAATGGGAGGTAGAGAGAGAGCGATTGCATCTGTACACTGAAATTACCAGTGATCACACAGGCTGATAAAGTCTCTCCGTCTATGCAGAGAGAGAACAAGATTAAGACGACTGCTCTGGAAATTTACAGCTGCGAATATCAAGCCATACACGAACGGATTTCAGTTTGCCGTTGATCCCAGTGTGTGGAGTAGGAACATGGTTCTGTTTGACTTTAGTACCAGGCACAATTTGACAATTTCCCTGCATTAAGTATAATTTGTCCCTCCATTCTGACAGAGTACATGCTGTACAGTGCGACATACTCACGATCTGACTTTATTAGAAACCTGTGTGGAATGGACATTTGGACCAGTGAGATTTGGACGGGTGGGCCTATCCCAGCGTAACCCCACAAAATGAGGATGTCCTCTTGACTCTTTAAGATAGAATCTGAGATTTACTAAAAAGAGACAACTTTTCACGTTCTCATGCGTGGTTATCACATCTAACATATTGCTGCATATTAGGGGTGTCACGATTTCGATTTTAAATCGAAATCGATCGAAATTATTTTTTTTCCGAATCGATCGAATTAAAAAATGGAATCGTCGATACTGCCACGCCCCCATGTCACGTCCGGTCGGCGTGCCAAGCGGGAAAAAAACACGCGTGTTGAAAAGCTGGGAGTATATGGTCAACCTCCTCTAACTTAGCTACAGCCATTCAAAAGATAGCATGGCAACTGCAGCAGATGCAGGAGACCCATCGACAGAACTTAACATCGGCAGCTGTAACAGCGCGCGCGACGCCGCATCCGAAGATGAACGACTTCGAGCCGAATCTGGCCGAGCATGTATGTCTCACCGCACCGGCATCCAGTTTGTGCGTCTTAAATTAGTTTCTTACATTTACAAAATGAGTCTATAGCAAACATAAGCCATTTTAATAAAAATAAAGTTCCATGTTTTATAAAATGTCCATTAAACTTAATTAAATGTTTAGTGAAATAAGAAATATTTAAAAGATCGTTAATTGAGTTGTATAGCCTACACACGTTTTTATATCCACATATTTTGTTCTAATGTCACAATAATAATCTCAGGGTTTACTGGATTTTACACGATTCTTTTTGTAGTGTTATTGGTGGTGATGTACTAAAATAAACATTGTAACGTGTGGATCTTTCTGCTTCTCACATTGATTCCTGATGGTTAAGAGGACAATTACTTTAGTCGCCCCCTGTCGTTTCACAGACTAGCACAACGGCGAGCGCGTCGAGTATAAACGCCTCGTCCGTTTGGAGAGGCGCGCGCGCAGTCAGCGGAGACTCGCGCTCTTGCGGACGCGTCGAGTATAAACAAGGGTGTAATCTCCCGGAATGAGCGAGCGAGCAAGAGCGCGCAATCGCGCATGAGAGACAGAAAAAACTATGCTCCAAACCGTATAGCGCGCGCACAGGAGAGAGCGAGAGATCTTGGGCATGTGCCTCATGAAGCGCATTAAGACAGAG